ACAGATGGAGTAAATGCAGTAAATGCACCAAGTTAACTAGGTAATAAAAGTTGAGGAAAAGAAATTAAAAAAAAAGAAATTTACAAAAAAAAGGAGCTTTTTTGTCATCTCAAAAAATTCGAAAATTTGTATTTAATAAACAAAAAACAAAAATCTTACAAATTTAAAAAAAAACGAAAATTCACAAAAAATAAATTTCAAAAAATCCCTAAAAACTTCAAGTCTCGAAAACTTAAAAATTCCACGAATAGCCAGCACCTTCACTCAAAAACACTTTCAGTGAAAAAAAAAAACTCGCTCACCTCGGCAGTTTTCTGGAGGCACATATCCGGAATTCCCCAGTCCTCATCCGGCATATCCGATAAGATACGATAAGTGGCGCGTCGCTGCACACTGGTGCTGTTGCTCGAAATAACACGCCTTGTTGTATTTGCTCCTACTCCTGAACTTGAAGCTGGGGTAGCACCAGCAGGCGCTCCAACTTGCGGGAACCTTCTGTAAATTGGCAGTCAAGAATATCACATGATGGAAAGCAGCCAGCGCGGATGCAGCTTGTCACATAATGATTTATTGCTTTTTTTTAAGGAGTCACTGCATCATTGGGAAGCAATACCCCTGCTCCTCCCCATCCCTAGGCTCTAGTGTGTTTTGTTCCTTCCTCAGACCACCCTGATCTGGAGAGTTTCGGCTCCCTAGAACCTCACCATATTTTATTATTATTCTCCTCTCGTATTTCAAGTACTTTATATAACTATAGTCTCTTGTATACACTTATATGGCTGTCATTATAACAGTCTGATCCAAAAACTTTTAAGGTCGCAATAAGCTATATTTTGAACGAAAATTATTTTTTTAAGCAAAAATCTGAAGACTCCGCCAATGTCCAACAAAAATCTCTTCTTCAATTCCATTTCTCCTCTTTGATCCCCTTCCCCCTGCCGACTGAGACTAGGTGTATTTCTGGCTGTCAAGCTTGCAGCGGAACGGCACTCAAGCATCTGGAAAAACTATCAGCTGTAAAAACGGAGTAACAAACACCAAAAAATTAGAAGTTGTTCCAAGAAAACTAATCACTCGTCTTTCTTCTACTTTCTAACGCCGCGTCCTGACTTTGACTAATGAATCAATGGATGAATTAGTAAATGAAAATTTAGAAAATTTCTATTTTTCAAAAACAAAATCCAAAAAAGCGTTTTTCGACTAATGAAAAAGCCAAAAAAGGATTCAGAACTGAATTATCAGCTCAAAAAAATAAAAAAATTCAGAACGGAACTGACGTTGGTGAATCGCTTTTTTTAACAATTGCAAGCTTCGCGATTGTGCTGAGGATGTCCGAATCGATGTCATCACCATCCGCTGCACTCATCCGTCGGCGTCGCTCTAATTCTCGCTGAAACTCAGAGGTCGTTCCATCTTTTGTCAGTAAATGCTACATTCGGTAGATGAAAACCACAAACAAACATGCTAAGCAGAAGAGCAGTGCTAAACGAAGCCCTCTTCTGCCACTGAAGGGCATATTTGCCCGAGAAGGTAAATGAATTTTTACTAAT